CAGATCGCGTTGCGCCCCTTATTTAAGAGATTTTGGGTTGTGTGTATGGAGAAATAGAGGGTTGTGTTTTCTACACTTTTGAGTTTCCATGGAACCACTCGGGGTTGTTAGCACAATATTATTGCGATCGGTTAGTAATGTTGGCCGTGGCGTACAATGAAGTGCATTGGTCGTGTCGATGATGAGGTCTAGCGCTTTAAAGTCATGATTAGTAATATTGGTGTTCGTGCTTTTTTTTGGTCGTTTCTGCGTGGCTGGGCGAGATTCTGTTTGGTCGTTGCAGTTTGGCTGTGTGCGTGTGGGTTCCACCGCTAGTGTTGCAGCATACGTTGCTAGCAGTTGGATGTTTATGCCTTATATGTGTGGCGCGTTGTTGTGTGGGTGGCATGGGGGTTTTGTCGTGGCGGTAGTCGATGCGTGGTATGTGCGTACGCTGCTGGGGTGTGTCAGGCTGATTTTTGTATTCTTGTCTTTCTGTGTTGGAGTGTCGTAGTGTTGGTGTCTTGTGTGTGGTTCGTCGTTCTTTATTAATTCCAGAATTCTCTTTTTTTAACGATGTATTTGGTGGCGCCTAGATGAGTATCGTCAATAGAGCTTCTCTTTTGTGTCTGAGAGTACGGAGAGACTGTGCTGCTACATGCTATGTTTCTGTAACATGTACAATATCTATAGCAACTATGAATAGGTACCCTCATATTTTATTGGATATTTTACTTTAGTTTACCGTACTACTGTTTTACGTATCAGTTATAGGCCATATTACTGATCTCGACTCCCATGGTATGGGAGGGCGCGAGTTATTGTTGAATACTCTCTATGTCTTTAAAGATCATTGCAGTATAGGTTGATGTATGCCTTGCTTCGTTGGCAGTTTGCGGAATTCTTGCTGTGAGATTGCTTCCAAGTCACTGAAATGGCGGCTTGGGGCAGCTTCATATGATAAGCTGTCTATTTGGTGTACCTGTGAGTGACGAGTCCTTTGCTCGTTGGGCCACATCTTAAGCGGATCGATGTCTGGAGCGGTGCAACATCATTGGCTCGGTAGTTGCC